TAAGATACGTAATACGGTTATAATAAAATATTGCGCGGTTATTTTCTATAATTAAAATTAATATGTATTTATTTTTTAGAAAATACGAGGGAAGCGGCGCATCCACCGCTTCCAATGAAGGCACGCCACTGTCACGTTATAATATAATGCAAATTTTCCAATTCTACGTTACAAAAGTAGAAGTTTCATATTCAAAATAATCTTACAAAAATGTTTTACGTAATTAACCCATGCCTGCGCGGTTTTCTTTCAGCTATTGATGCATTTCAGATAAAAATATTTAAATTATATTATAAAACATTTAACATCATGTCTGAAATTTATTATTTTCTCACAAAATTTTAAAAACAATTGTGTTTGGATATTGTTTTGCTTTTTATACCGTGTTGTTTAAAATAGAAAAGTTCCAAATGCATGAACTTTACGATCAGGATAATGTGTTAATCAATAGACAAAAAAATTTAAATATCAATTCAACTGTATTGTTACAACTCGTATTCTTGTGGTGCGAAAAGACAGAACTGGGAAGAAACACAAACTTGTCTTTGTCTTCTCACGTTGTGACGTCCTCAACATGTTCCTGTCGTTTTATACTGTTTCAGGTTGATGGACGCATAACCGTGGTAATAACGGTGTGGGCCAGCTGCTTCGGGAGTTTCGAAATGGAATGAGAATGGAAACCCTACGAATTTTGTGCTCCACAGTGACTAAGTGGATAAAAATCACGGAACACTAATAGCTGGTCATAGTTTCGCACATGACCAACGGGCTGACCATGTGGACTTTTGAGCAGTTTTTTTTTTTGCCTTTTTGTTATGTACAGTAGAGCCTCGATTATCCGATCCAATTGGGGACTGGGGTTGGTCGGATAATTGAAAAGTCGGATAACCGAAAAGTATGAAAAAATCCATTACAGTAGAGCCTCGATTATCCGACCCAATTGGGGACTGGGGTTGGTCGGATAATTGAAAAGTCGGATAACCGAAAAGTATGAAAAAATCCGTTATTAGTGTAGTATATTATTATATCCCATGTAATTAGTATATCGCTATTAACCTACTTCGCGTTGAATTTTCATCGACGTTAAGCCTAACAAAAATTTTTTTAAATAATAATCGTCGCTATTGTATCGTTAAAAATTAGAAAATTAAGAATCGTTTAAATACTGGCTCCCTTTCATGGTCGAATGAGTGTTGCCAGCTAAAACACGTAAAAATAATATTAAAGTAGCCGAGACATAGCCAAATATTGTAGCGCCACATCACTAGCGGACATTTGAAATTTGCCGACTAGGNTTAAGCATCGTTTAAATACTGGCTCCCTTTCATGGTCGAATGAGTGTTGCCAGCTAAAACACGTAAAAATAATATTAAAGTAGCCGAGACATAGCCAAATATTGTAGCGCCACATCACTAGCGGACATTTGAAATTTGCCGACTAGGACGGTCGGTTAACCGAGGCTCTACTGTATCTCGTCTTCTTTTGTCTTCGGTCAGTCGTGCGTTAGCTGTAACTTAGACCTGGAGGCATAAAGTTACGTTTGTATTATAATAAAGTTACTTATATACGTTTTTTTAAAAATTTTAACTGTTTCCGCCCTGTGGACACTTAGAGGGCTTCTTATCAGCAGACCCATTATAGGTTCAGCCAGGCCCACAATGAGACGGGCGAGTTGTGAGGGACGGGGCCCGACATATCCGAACGGACCACCCCTCGAAAAATTCCTGGGGATTTTTCGACCCGTCGGAATTCGATTCCGGTTCCCACAGGGCTGTAGGCTGCCACCTTGACCGCTCGGCCATTTGGCCGTCAACTTTTCCAAGTTTTGCTTTACGTGTCTAACACCTAAATATGGACTAGTTTCCCATAAAACGTCCTCTCGGTAGGCTTTTCCGTTTTGGCAGATCGCCCATATGTTGTTTGTTACCTTTAGACCATTGGCCAATCCAATCCACGAATATATTATAGGTGGGTTATCCCAGATACGTTGGTACAGTCTCTCATAACTCGGTCGTCTCCGATTGTGGATCCGGAGTGCCCACAGAAAGGAAAATTAAGAAAAAATACATACCATGTGACTTATTCAACATGTTCCCAATTCTACATCAATGACTGGAAATTAAGCACTACGTCTTCCGGCAGTTACGTTAAATTTCCAGATTATTTTCGTGCCTGTCAGTGGTTGTGGATAAAAATCACTAAACACTGTAGTTGGTTGTTGGCGCCTGCCAACGGGCTGGCAACGTGGGGTTTTCCCGGTTTTCTTCACGTCAGTAATACCTAAATAGGGACTGTTTCTGACGAAAGTTCTTCCGGGAGGCATCACACCTTGGAAGATCTCCCGTGTCGCATTGCGGTATCCAAATGTACTGTACCTAAATCCAGATTATTTTCGAATATGTTTAATTCGATTTTTTTTAACTCTCTCCGCCCTGTGGGCACTAATAGGACATCAGGACCGTTTTTTAACCATTGTGGGTTCGGCCAGGCCTACAATGGGGCAGGGAGGTGATGCGGGACGGTATTCAACTTATCCAGATGGACTACACCCGGAAAATTGTTGGGGTTTTTCGACCCGTCCGGAAATGATTCCAGATTTCCATGAGCAATAGGCTGCCATCTTATCTGCTGGACCATCTTGTTTTCTAATTTATTAGTGTGTGAAATGTTCCAGCGCCCACCAGTGACCGAGTGGATACAGGCCCGCCGTAAGCGGGCGTGCAAGGCTTGCACCGCACACGGGCGGCACGTTCAGGGGGCGACAAATCAAGCGATCGGTCACGCAATAATTAGTCATTGTCATAATACCCACCCTACTTATAGCATAAGAAACGTAATCGCATGGAGAAAAAAATCCGACTGGCGCGCAATTACTATATTCTTATTTATATTATAGCGTTAACAGCGCCTCTATTGGCATTTATCAGAATTAAGATGCAATGCGAAACGTCTGTCGGCAGGTTGAACCATCTGGCGGGCACCCGAAAGGCAAGTACCAATAGTCGTGCTGTATGATAGAAGTTGACAGGTTTGGCGAAAATAGGGAATCCCTACAGAGCTTCCTTCTCAATTTGTACTTGTACGCATTCGAACAGTTCTATTGCATATCAAATTGCAATTATTTTGTTAATAATTCTTCTGACATGGGTCGAAGTATAATTAATGATATTTTAACTTGGTTAGGATTTAAATCTGAAGCTTAAAGACGATTCAAGTAGTGAAACAGACATTGACAGTATTGATTTGTTTAATGAAATCAATACTTTAAAGTTGCATTTTCCAGAAAACCAGTCTAATGATCCACAAACCCCATTACAATATCTTTTTACTAATGACTTAATTTCAACAGTTCCAAACACAGCAATAGCACTAAGAATATTACTTACATTGCCGGTTTCAGTTGCATTTGGTGAAAGGTCCTTTTCAAAGTTAAAAATTATAAAAAACTATTTAATTAATTAATTTATTTAAGATCAACAATGCACCAGCAAAGACTAAGTAATTTAGTTTATAGCTATATTTTCAATTGAACATGATATCTTAGACAGCTTGGATACAAGAAAATTAATAGCAGATTTCGCAAACATGAAGGCAAGAGAGTTCAATTTCTGTAGATAAATATTTATATGGTTTTACACTTAAGTAAATAAAAATAACTTAGTAATAATAAATAGTTCTTTTTGTAAAGTATTTCTTTTCTTTTTTCACACCTTTATGAGACAACACTAAAGAGCCTTTCTGGCAAGCTCAGCGCAGGTAGTCGTAGTTAAACAGGGGGCGGCGTAATCGGTATTGCACACGGGCGTTCAAACAGCTAGCGGCGCCCCTGACCTGGACTAGGGTTGCCACTCGCGACATATGAAAAACTTGGGTCTGGATGGGAAAAAATCCAGATTATATACCCAGAAAAATTCTGATTGAAATGTAATTATAAATACTTTATTCTAGTACATTCATGCTGTTATAATTACAGGCATTTTAATACAAATTGAAAAAAAAATTATTACCTAATTTACACAGTAGTTAATATTATTTCAAAGCTACTCTGTTCTTCTTTTTGCATTAACAGTACTGCACAATCTTTATGCTCTTCTTGTCGCTTCTTATACCTTTGGTGAACTCTTTTTACTGCATCTCTAATTAGTTCAGTTTCGGGTTCATACAGCGAACAGCTAAGATTTTTACCTACTGATCGCTTGTTTAGCAAGCAACCTGTTCTTTGATGATTCAATAGTTAAATTAACACCAGTGTTTTTGAAATTGCTGTATTAATTTCAAAATACACGTAAGCCATCCGGNTTCAGTTTCGGGTTCATACAGCGAACAGCTAAGATTTTTACCTACTGATCGCTTGTTTAGCAAGCAACCTGTTCTTTGATGATTCAATAGTTAAATTAACACCAGTATTTTTGAAATTGCTGTATTAATTTCAAAATACACGTAAGCCATCCGGATTTTTAAGCAGCTGGAGTTAAGATGTTGCTGTTTGTGTCGCGATAGCAAATAAAAATAAAGCAATTATTGTAAACGAGTTGTGATTACGGTTTTAGCTTAGTGCTCAACAAAATCCCTCCCGAATCGTTTCTACCACCCTTCAATAAATCGTACAACGGCGCAATCCATTTTAAACCAATTGGATCACAAGTAGAAATGATTGACATATCAAATGACATCACTTACGTCGAGGAAAAACATTTTCCAATTATCGTGTAACATTGAACAGGAAACGTACTTGGCAAATTAATAATCAAAATAATCAACACCTAATCCGTTGCCATGGGAGTTTATTTTAAAAAACGAACGTTTTCGATCTACTCCATAGATCATCTTCAAGTTGAAAAAAAACGAATATGGAATAACCACAAAGAATAGAACATTAAATTCAAATTCAAAAAAATATCGACAACTGAGTAACTAAGTAAAATAATTAAAGTGTAAAAAATATTAGGATAGAACCAACAATTAGGACTAAAAAAGGAGTATATGGGAGTTANGCATCATGGCAATACCAAATTCACATGTTAATAAGTAAGTTTTACTTAAATATTTTTATTGATTTCTACATAATTTAATTCTATAATTCCAAATTTAGCATGTATATTTGTTTGAGATTTACATTAATTTTTATCGGGCCAATCAACCTTCTCAACGAACTCTCAATATATTCAATATTATGTTTTACCCTAAACTTGTAGGCTTAAGCAATAACGTATGCAAGGCCTTTTTCGTCCACCAAATAATAATATATGAGGCCTTAAGTTATAGTTTTATAATGAGAGGCCCTAAGCTACAACTTGAGAGTCAGACAACGGTTTAATATTTTTACACTGTGGCCTCACTTTCTAAGAATTTTAACCCATTCTCTTGTAAAAATATCTCTTGTTTTTAATCTTATCCCTATAAAATTTCATATAAATATCTTCTTGTATCCCAGAATCGCGAAGAATGTTAAAGACTTCAAACGTAAGTAATTGTTTTGAGTATATTGTAGTACACACGTTTAATAATTACACTACTAACTACACTTACTTCTCCTTCGCAGCTTGTAAGGTGTGCTCGCTTAGAATAGCCATAACGAATGCATACGGACCATGTACATGCTTGGAATGCGCTGATTTCTTTTACGAAAATGTATATTACTTGAAGCTACCACGTTGCAAAGAGAATGCCAAATGTCTTATACTAGTAAAAAATAGCTGCTCGGCCTGTAGATTAAATAAATGTTACAATGTTGGAATGAAATCGGATTGTATCTATAGTAAGTACAATATTTCCTGAGTAAAACTTTTAAGTAATGTATACAGTACTTACAATATATTTTATTTATAGGACCCGAAATATATAATAATATTCGCTTGTATAGATTAGGAAAAACTCGTGTAAGTTGTATTTAAATCTATATTTCTTGTGAAGAGGTATTGTTTTACTTGTCGCATTTTACGTTTATATTAATTAAATTTTTATAGAAAAACTCGAAATTCTATAAATTTTTGGACGAGAAGAATTTATTTGAATTTTTCCCATGTCTATACGCTTTGTTTATGAGAAATATAAGTTTTATCAATGCTTTTCAAACGTTACCAAATTCTTATAAGGTAAGGTTAACACAATAAATTAATTTTTTATTTGTATTAAGTGTTAAAGAAAATAATACAGTCGATCATCCTATAACACTGTTGATTATTCCGTTTTATATGAATTCCGTATTGTACGAGTCACTTAGATTTTACAAATACATGTACCAGGCTATGAATGGCTCACGTATTTGTAAAATCTAAGTGACTCGTACAACATATGGAATTCATATAAAACGGAATAATCAACAGTGTTATAGGGGGGTCGACTTGTATTTGTCATTTAGTGTCAACGTTCGAAATATAAATTCTTCATTTAAATATTAAACGTTAATGAATTTAACGATCACAGTTTTAACTTACCTGTATTTCGAGGTAAATTTTAAATTTTCCTTATGTGACCGTGGGATGTGACACCACCGAGTCTCGCAAGACTCGGAAATCGCGACTTACGTCACGCGAGCGGTTGGATTAGGAGTAGAGGTGAGGAGAGAGACCAGGAAGCGACTCACTCAGATTCCATATTAACTAACAATAACATTTTTAATTATAACAAAGGAAAATACAGATATACTCGATATCAATCATGACTAACGTTCCCCTTAATTATCTCTAGACCGTTGGAGAGAGAGAGAGAGTTTACAAACGAATCGCGTGTTGATAAATACATTGTAACTGAGTCGAAGATCTGTTATAAGATGACTGGATAAACCTTCGAGGTTCGATGAAATTGTTCTGGGTCTTTAGATTGTCCAATAACAAGAGCACTACGGTGTAGAGGCACGTGTGTAATATATCCTTAAAGAGGCACAGCCATTTTCACGATATTAATTCTTGAGGAGGCAACTTGGGAGGACGACTTCTGAGGACCANGCGTCAGGAACTTCTGTTCGAACAAACCTCACCTGCCGTCCGGGTCAGCGATTTTAAAAAAGTGGCAACTCTAGCACGGAATTTTTCACTTATTCTGTGACGAAACTGAATTTTAGTCTTTTAAATTGAGATACCTAAATAAGGGGGGACGAAATTTTTCCCCGCCCCGGGCGGCTGACACCCACGCTACGCCACTGAATACACTCTCCAACTTTAGCGAAGCCTGCCGAAAAAATAGAAATATACAGAAGCAAACTTGATGATAGATGTGTAAACGCCAGAGATGCAGAGGGCCTACCCTCAGCATGGAAGTTTGCTGTTAAAAGACTTACAAATGGCTTATGAATGACGACTTGATTCGCAATTCACATTATGAGAGCATTTATAGTTTTTGTTAACTGTTAACGGCTTGTACTATTACTTATTTATTGTTGTATGTTATTTATTTTTACAACTAATATTTTTTACACTTTAATTATTTTACTTAGTTACTCAGTTGTCGATATTTTATTGAATTTAAATTTAATGTTCCATTCTTTGTGGTTATTCCATATTCGTTTTTTTCAACTTGAAGATGATATATGGGGTAGATCGAAAACGTTCGTTTTTTTTAAAATAAACTCCCTCGGAAACGGATTAAGTGTTGATTATTTTGATTATCGTGTAACAATAATTACATCGTAAATGTTGTCCTGCGCGTAACGTTCTGTACCGTCGGCAGGGTACAACACGCTTCATGTGGTAAATGTAATTTTTGATATTAATAAATCAACTAATAAAATGATAATACAGTAATTATAATTGTCTATACAATCACAACNGTAAGTACAATATTTCCTGAGTAAAACTTTTAAGTAATGTATACAGTACTTACAATATATTTTATTTATAGGACCCGAAATATATAATAATATTCGCTTGTATAGATTAGGAAAAACTCGTGTAAGTTGTATTTAAATCTATATTTCTTGTGAAGAGGTATTGTTTTACTTGTCGCATTTTACGTTTATATTAATTAAATTTTTATAGAAAAACTCGAAATTCTATAAATTTTTGGACGAGAAGAATTTATTTGAATTTTTCCCATGTCTATACGCTTTGTTTATGAGAAATATAAGTTTTATCAATGCTTTTCAAACGTTACCAAATTCTTATAAGGTAAGGTTAACACAATAAATTAATTTTTTATTTGTATTAAGTGTTAAAGAAAATAATACAGTCGATCTTCCTATAACACTGTTGATTATTCCGTTTTATATGAATTCCGTATTGTACGAGTCACTTAGATTTTACAAATACATGTACCAGGCTATGAATGGCTCACGTATTTGTAAAATCTAAGTGACTCGTACAACACGGAATTCATATAAAACGGAATAATCAAAAGTGTTATAGGGTGGGTCGACTGTACATAAAATACAGGATGCCTCAAAATAATGTGAACATAAATTATTATGTCCTAATGATTTATTCAACATATTTTGTTTCGTTTCAGCTAATAATTTTAACCGAATTTTATATTTTTAGGGTTTCTTATCGCGCGTATGCATGAAGAGAGGAATTATTATGGAACTTGTTGAAAGATGCTACAATACTCACGACGTTTTAAGATTAGAAAAGTGTTTCATTGATCCTCACGTTTCGCGAAGTGAATTTGTAAGAGATTTTGGACGTGAAATCTTGAATTTTATAAGAACTTTGAAAAATCATATTCATACTACCCTTGACTTTTATCTTATCAAATTCATTTTAATATTTGATGACTGTGAGTATATTTAACACAGTTTACATTGTAAAGTATACAATATTCCTTGCTTGTATACAAATTTTATCATTTAATTTAATTTCAGATACTATTTTATCGATACCTTCCTTTGACCTTTTTCTTCATATATTAATAAGACAAGTCGCCGTTTTGGAGAAACTTCTTTCTAATTTTGAGTACGAGTTCGGATGTATTGATGATGAAGTTAGATTGCATCATTTCAATATGAATTTGTGAGTACTTTTCTACGTTTCTTACATGCAAAATTCAATTTCCTACCCCCAATTTTCTGTGGAAGTTTCAAGGAACTTCTCACGTGATTTTGAAATTATCGACGATTTTCAACTAGTTATTACTTCCCCGGTTGTTATATATAACAGAGGGAAAGTGTGACGTTTGGTCAAAAAATGACCCTCCAAGACTTTTACATCTTTGAACTTGGAAGGTCGAGAAATGCAAATAAATTCGTTTTTTTTCTGTATGTATGAATGTTAGTGTTTGTATGGGGGGCACAGTAACCTTAATAACTCCCGTTCTTTTTGTGGAAAATTTCTGAAATTTTCCAGGGAAATTTACTTATTTAGGGTGATAATGGTGTTAAATTTTGGTGAGTAAAGATCGAAGGGGTGGGAGATAAAGGGGGTCGTGTGTATCTGTAGTAGGATGCGTGAGGATACTTCTCACGGAATTTCATATTGTCTGCCATTTTGTAAAGAAAAGAGGAACATGAAGTCCAGTAGCGAAACGTGACAGTACAAAGTTAGAGGGGCGCTTGATGACTGCAAGCACCCCTTGATTATAACTTTCTTATTTGTTACTTTAATTAAATTATTTACATAAATTAAAATTTTTAATATGAAAATTATACTTTTTTTATTAGAGTGAATAGAAGATTTGCAGATCACATAAATCAACAATCTTCTCCAGAGTTTTACTTCATCTGCAACAATTAAGAAGAAAAAAACAGAGACAACTTTACGTTAAAAGTTTTAATTTTTTTATATTATTTTACAATTTACATATCCACGTTTGATGTTTCTTGTTCAAATTTGGGTTTCATACATCGTATTTGTGTTGCAACAGTAAAATATCATATTCCATGTGGAACTCCAAAAGATATAATTGGATGATTTTTACAACACTTGTACAAGCTTTTAAATTGAATTTATATATATATATTTCGATGTAAATAAAATATAATTTATAAAATTTATTTTATGTATTGATCATTTTAAATTCCGGTTTTACTGTAAACATTACACCGATCAATTACTAGTGACAAAGTGGATAAGGACACTGAAAACTGGTGGTTGGTCACGGGTTTGCCCCTTGCTTGCAATTTTCCATGGGGAATTCCGTGGTTCTAATCATACTGGTGAATTTTCCTCAAGAAACTTCACCAGTATGATTGGAAATCGATAACTCAATCCATGCAAGAAGGAGCTATTAGCATTTTTCTGGAAGAGAGCAAGGCCACGGAGCAAAAGAAATCAAATTTCTTGATTCCCTTAGATTTCTTACGGCATCTGCTCCATCTTGCAGGACGAAAAATCTTTGTAAACATTGATCAGTGTTCCCACCGGATGCAACACGTTGCTTTTACATATCATAAACCATTCATTCTTTGTGACGAATTAAAATCGGATACTTTCGAGTGGAACATCCTGTATTTTTGTCAGAAAAGATTAGCATCTCGTTGCTCAAACTTTAAATTTTTAAACTGTTTTAAGCATCTTCAAAAATATATTTCTAGAGAACTTCTAATGAAGTTTTAATGGGCAACAATGGCTCGTAAAGCTCGTAAAAATAAGCTCGGTTTTCGGGAGTTTCAATTAATTAATTGCTATTTATTCAGATTAAAATAATTACAGAAATAGGAAGAGAAATTTAAGAGATTTCTGCAAAAATATAATTCTCAATCTTAAGTTTTTAAACAACATTGGATCAGCAGTGATCACAGGAAGTGAGTGGTGCATCATTCTATTGGAGGAAGTCGTGAAGAGATAAAATCTCACCTATTATTTTAACTTCCCTTAAGCTTCTCGACTTTATTCTTTGTAAATCTTTTGACAAATATTAAATATTTATAATTTTGCAAATGATTAATTTGCCGCTCCGTGTCCTCGCGTGAATATGGGTTAAACAGAATTAGAACGTATTTCTGTCTAACCCGTGTGTAAAAGCTAATTCTGCTGTTTTATTAAAACTCATTCCAGCATATAGAACTGTCAAACACTATAACTTGTATTTTAATTCTTATATATTGGGAGTATGACGTATGATGAAAATGATTGCATATTTTGTAGGAATAGCTGAAGACTGAATAAGTTTCCCATAATTACAAAAGTTATTGCTTTATCTTCACGTTAATATAATTAGTGTTTGTTAGTGATTTTGGACATTAATTTCCCATATTATCGAATCTGCAATCAATTGGTTGAATTATATTTGAGGCGGAATCTCTTCCATGTGATTTACAGAATTATATTTGTTCTCGAAATCTGACTGGTCAATTATGATTTAACTTTACCATTTTCCATTAATTGCCACGAGAAATCCAAAACGTTAATAAAAATTGAGGACCATAACTTTATTTTCGAGATATAATGGGGTCAAAGTGATAATATCCGTGCTGAAGTGACGTTAGAAGTACTTCAGCTACAATGCTGATATTTACTGTAAAAGCTGAAAATATACTGTTAGAAGGGTGCAGTCGGCATATTTAATATGTCTGTCATTAGACTAAATTCAAAATTAATTTATTACCATACACTCGAAGTTCGTTAATCTGGAATCGGAATATCCTGTAATCCAGCTGTTTTCTAGAAAGTAAATAATATTGTTATTATTATTATAAATAAATAAATTTCTTATTTAAAACATTTATATTTTATAGCTTTATATAAATTTAATTCGATGAAATTTGAAGAGCATCATTTGAAACGTCTATTTATGCAAATTAATGAAGAGAATTAGAAAGAAAATCATCTAAAATAAATTTATTTTTATTTTAAAATAGGAACATATAATATTATTAAATTAAATTAAACGATTTAACATAAAATAATGAAATTATAATCTCATTAGTGCCTATTGCTCTGTGAAGTACCCTCATTGACGCTTCCGTATTTAATCAATTTAATGACAATAATTTTTATTTTTCTTTTACAAAAATACTTAGAAATGCTTTGAAGTATTGTGCTTTAGACATAATTTTCAGATGGCGGAGTGTGAAAACTGTATATGCTCTTATTGCGAATTAACTCATAACAATGGATTCGGTATGTACTTTTAGATGTTAAGAAGTAATGTTAAAGTCTTTAATATTTAATTACTTTTAGCAATAGCTATTTGCCCAATTTGTCACGAGGTTAACTTGTTAGAAAATAAATTTGGGCTTGCCGTTTGTCATGCGTGTAATAGTTTCTTCGAGACAATTGTGAAACGTTCGTTCTATCCTTTATGTGACAGTAAGGGGACGTGCGAAGTCAAACGAGCAGACATCAGAACATGTGACTTCTGTCGGATGAGTAAATGCTATGCACGTGGAATGCAATCTAAGAAAGTAATACGTAAGTATTTGATTTCACTTTCTAACATTCAAAAGTCGTAGTTAATACTACAACTATTAGATATTATATAAAATAACTCTATAGTGGACAATGATTACAAAAAAAAATTAAGTAGAAGACTAGAAAAAATTCCAACTTTGGTATGTCCTTTTAAAATTTTTAGGTGTTTTCTTATGTAAATTTGATAGCAAACAGTTTTTATTGTGTTTGTATGTCTCTAATAGGCATATCGGCTCAGCAACTCTTGGCACTCTATTCAGTTTCAAGAGTGTCTGTTATTAATGGAGCAGCATTATTATCAATGGCTTCACTTATCCGAAGACTTTGAAAGCCTGTGTGACGCAGAAAAGGTAAGTATTAACTTTTATATCAGTAACTTACGCTTAGCACTAATTGCTTCTGTTACAAAGAGGAAGACGTTCTTATACTTCAAGCGATTGATTTCAGGAATTAATAAAGAGAAAGAGTTGCATTCGTGGAACGGCATTACAAATAATTGAAAGATCGTTGCCCGCTCACGACGTGTTATGGTTGCATAATTGCTTCTTCGATCCTGCATCGTGTGTCGTTCCTTCCATCAGAGCAATAACATTATCCATTCTATCGCTTGTGATAAAATGCAGAGAGATTAATCTCTCTGACGTAGAATTCATGTTAATCAAGTTGAAATTGGCTTTAAGAAATGGTAATTTTAAAAATATAAAATATAAAATCGTTAGTTATTAAAGAAAATTTATTAATATATTTTTTTCTAATTTTTACAGATGTTAGTGTACAATCTGATGGAATAGTGTTCGATTTTATTAATGACAAAATAAATTGGATAGAAGACGAAATGAAGCTTTATTTATGATATAATTACATTAATTTAAGTTATTCTGAGGACCCCTCTATAATTTTAACGAGTCGGTAAATAACTTTTTTGTTTTTACAATATAAAAGCCGAGTGGTAAAACCACTAAACACTGATAGTTGATCGCGGGTTCGTGCCTCAACAGCAGGTTGACCGCGTGGAGTTTTGTTTTCTTCGCGTGTTTAACACATAAAGGTTGTTTCTTGTGAGTCACCCTCTATGCAGAATGACCGTGTTGCGCTGCCTTATCCCATTATCAATTCCAGTTCTATTAACATTGTAATCTTGATCTAGCACTCATTCAAAGGGAAACGTCTTGAGTTCTTTTGTTCTCTTCCACTTCATTTACTTTATAAGATCTTAATTATTTATTAGTTTCTGTTTTTAACAGATTGTTTCGTTATCCTTTATTGTGTTGTGACGTGTTACCAGAACATACAATTAATATTTTAAAATGACGTAAGTGAACTCTTAACGACAATTTAAACTTTTATTAATTAATTTATTGACAATTTTTTTTCTTTTAGGTTAATCATCCGGAATAGCAAAACAATGGCCATTATAAGTACAGCTTATGCAAAATTGTAGACAATGGTTATGAGCATTACATTTAAGTTAATTGTTTTTCATAACTTAAGAAGCAATTTGAGTAATTCTGTTTAACAATAAGAAAATTTGAAGATATTCTGTATAGAAAATTCGGTATGAAACGTATGCAGCTTGCAATTCATGTATTATTTTAGTGTACATAATTTTCTTTCAGGTCTATTGTCCGAATATGAGGAAATGTAATTTTAAAATTATGACGAATAAAGAAAGCATATTTCTTCACTTTTAATTTATTTTCTTGCTACTTATTGAGAAATTTAACTACCTCACACCTCTCAAAATCCAATTCTCTCGATCAACCCATAGTAATGTGCCCATTGAATTTACTATTCACTGTAGAAAACTAAATCTTTCCTGTCTAAAAGGTGATTTCGGTACCCAGTGAGTTTCTCAAACACTTGGCGAGAGTTTGTAGCCTATCGACGAGCCGGCAACGTGGAGTTCTTCGGGTTTTATAGACGTGTTTAATACCCAAATAAGAGCTAATTTCTCATAGAAGATCTCCCGGAGGTATCTCCCCTTGGCAGATCGTCCACGTTAAATAATTACGTTAAAAGTATACAAACTAAATGTTATTAATATTTATTAAAAGACACTCCAACAGTTCTCTCGTTACTGAAAGACCTAGTGGCAGGGTCCTACCCAAAACTTTTGTAATCAATTTTTGACGGCCCCAAGCTCCCACAGTTCTGAGAGAGTAAGTACGAAAAATTGGGTGCAGATTAGTCAAAGCATTTACAAGTTTGTAGAAGACAGACAAATAGTAAATAGACATTTATATATAATAAAATATTACATATATTTTTATAGGTGAATATGCAGGAAATTCTATTATTTTAAATTAGAAAACAGCATATTTACGACACTATAAGTACTAATGCGTATTGTTCGTTAACAGTGAACGTAATAACAATTGTCATAATTGTTGTATGGATCGGACTTTCTAATTTTGATCGCGAAAATGGCAAAACCGAAAATATTTTCATATTTACACTGTAAAGGAAGTAAAGAAACTACTATTTTCATTGTCTTCTATTCCATGGCAAGTAATTTTCTTCACTATTTTTAGTGGATAAATCATCTCTAGCTCCATGAACTCCGACCTTTCTGTGGAAGCGCTCATTAGTTTACATATTTCCACCTAAAGCGGTGGAAAGTAACACTTTATATTGCTTACAAATTAATTGGTAAAATAATTTTCTTGCAGTTTTATTCAATTCTGAGATTAGCCGTTAACAGTTTTAAGGAGTTTGGAAGTATTTATATTGACGAAAATAGAATTTGTTAGTATAATATACGTTAAAATTAGAATATTTTAAGGCCTGAAGCGAATTTATATAAAATTTTCGTGTTATTTCTCACAGCTGCATCTTGTTATCTTGCCTACACCATCATCAATTGGTTACTTTGGTCCGTGCTTTTACTAATGAGTTTGCTAGTTATTGGTGCATTGATAAAGGTAAAAATTACTTATTTGCAATCAATAATCATGTATTTTTAAATATATATTTATTGTTTTCTAACAAATATCATTAAAGCTGCCATAGTCATTAACACGAAGTATATATTTCCATAGAAAATTCGTAAACTACTAATCCCATTTTTGATATGGATGGGTGTCGTGATTATCGGAGTACCAGCTGCAGAAGTTTGTGTGTTGATTGCCATAAAAAATATAACTGTAAGTGTATATGAATACGTTACACGTTTAATCATTGGCTATTGATATGATGAATAGCCCAACAATGGTTCTACTATACTACTTGAGGCATGCTTCAGTTGCAATTCCTAGCATTGTAACATATCTAGTTTGAGGGAAACAAAAAAAATTCCTATTTTTCTACAGAAAATTTATTAATATATATATATTTTTAATTTTTACAGATGTTAGTGTAAGATCTGATGGAATTGTGTTCGATTTTATTAATGAGAGAATAAATTGGATAGAAGACGAAATGAAGCTTTATTTAAAATATAATTACATTACTTTACGTTATTCTGAGGACCCCTCTTTAATTTTAACGAGTCGGTAAATAATTTTTTTGTTTTTACAATATAAAGGCCGAGTGGTAAAACTGCTAAACACTGATAGTTGATCGCGGATTCGTGCCTCAACAGCGGGTTGACCGCGTGGAGTTTTGTTTTCTTCGCGTGTTTAACACCTAAGGCTTGTTTCTCATTGAGGAAATATTCTTGTGAGTCACTCTCTATGCAGAATGACTGTGCTGGTCTGCCTCATCTGATTATCAATTCCAATCCTATTGCAGAGTGAATACATTTTAATCTTGATCTAGTACTCACTCAAAGGGAAACGTCTTGAGTGTTCTTTTGTTCTCTTCACTTCGCTTACTTCATAAGATCTTAATTATTTATTGGTTTTTGTTTTTAACAGATTGTTTCGTTATCCTTTATTGTGTTGTGACGTGTTACCAGAACATACGATTAATATTCTAAAATGAAGTAAGTGAACTCTTAACGATAAATTAAACGTTTATTAATTAATTTATTGACAATATTTTTTTTTAGGTTAATCATCCGGAATAGCAAAACAATGGCCATTATAAGTGCAGCTTACGCAAAATTGTAGACAATGGTTATGAGCATTACATTTAAGTTAATTGTTTTTCATAACTTAAGAAGCAATTTGAGTAATTCTGTTTAACAATAAGAAAATTTGAAGATATTCTGTATAGAAAATTCGGTATGAAACGTATGCAGCTTGCAATTCATGTATTATTTTAGTGTACATAATTTTCTTTCAGGTCTATTGTCCGAATATGAGGAAATGTAATTTTAAAATTATGACGAATAAAGAAAGCATATTTCTTCACTTTTAATTTATTTTCTTGCTACTTATTGAGAAATTTAACTACCTCACACCTCTCAAAATCCAATTCTCTCGATCAACCCATAGTAATGTGCCCATTGAATTTACTATTCACTGTAGAAAACTAAATCTTTCCTGTCTAAAAGGTGATTTCGGTACCCAGTGAGTTTCTCAAACACTTGGCGAGAGTTTGTAGCCTATCGACGAGCCGGCAACGTGGAGTTCTTCGGGTTTTATAGACGTGTTTAATACCCAAATAAGAGCTAATTTCTCATAGAAGATCTCCCGGAGGTATCTCCCCTTGGCAGATCGTCCACGTTAAATAATTACGTTAAAAGTATACAAACTAAATGTTATTAATATTTATTAAAAGACACTCCAACAGTTCTCTCGTTACTGAAAGACCTAGTGGCAGGGTCCTACCCAAAACTTTTGTAATCAATTTTTGACGGCCCCAAGCTCCCACAGTTCTGAGAGAGTAAGTACGAAAAATTGNAAGGGATTGGACACGACTGGTCAGAGACTAAGTCGAGTTCAATTTCCAGTTTGTGATTCTTTCGCCTACTGGAAGATGAAGACCTAACTACATCACTAAATACAGTCAAATTTATAACTTGTTACACAAATTTACTATTAGAAAAACAAATAACTGCAAAAATAGTACTTTTTAACAAATCGAAAATCACCATTCATGTCAATTCAAAAAAACAAAATTTATTCGTTACTTTATTAGTTTAATACATTTTTATTGTTTTGGAGCCTAATCAGCATAAAAAGCTTAACAATATTTTAAAACAAAAATCTCATCCTACTAGTCTATTATAAAAAAATTTTCATTAACTGCACTAATTTTGTGAAATTCATGCTTGTCCTTGAGCTCCACCCTCATCACGCACAACATTAATTCTATGTTGAGGAAATTCATAATCATCTGGATATACTGAATATTCGAACAGCCTAGAAAGCAAAAAAAAAAAACAGAACTAACTACAAGGAAGTTAGAATTATCAATTTTATCGAGGAATCATCTATGCCTACTCATAGGTTCTATTACCTTGGAAATGTTGGGTGAAGACCATTCATTATCTACTTCATAAATCATCGTTTAATATTATCATAAAGTTAATACGAAAATTAATTGAATTTAGTCGTCACGACAGTTTTAATATGCTGTGAAGCTACATCAAATTCTAATAACTTCATTAGCTCACAAAAATCCATTACTATTGTCGAAAAAATACTGGTATGTATCAATACAAACCACAACCCAATGAAGCGTATAACAAGTTTTAGAGAAAACAAAGGATGTTCTTCAAAATTCAAGAAGTCTAACAATAGACAGTTGTAGTTCGTTGGCTGCATTTTCTCTTTTTCGAGGACATTTTAACGCCAAAGAATAGCGATTTGTCTGAGGTCCGTTAACTGCCTTTCGCTAAGGAGACTTATCGAATGTCTTGATGACCATAGATGCAAACCTGAGAGCCATAAATTACTCTTTCGACAATGAAAAACTTAAATATTCTTATAAAATTTAGTTATTTTAACACTTTATCTTCGTATTTTAACATTGAAAACCCTAATAAAGTATTTAATACTGAAAATTCGGCATAATTTATGGCTTCAGAGCTTTACATTTGTTTCTCCAATTGAACAACATGAGGAAAATCTGAGGTAGTACCTCATACTTGAGTTCAGTGATTATTATCTAAGTTTTAATATTAAATATTTACTTAATATATTGCAGGTAGCAATTAGTCTTACTCTACTTACACTCATTTTTATTGCTTTCAATGTAAGTAAAATTTTTGAAATCAATGAAATTATAAGCTCGAATCTAAAATTTTCTATGTATATTTAGATATACTGCTTCATATCAGTATATTTATATTACGAAGATTTTTATAAGATTAANATGCTTAAAATTTATCAGAACAATTGCTGCTTCATCTAATGACACTGCTTAAAAGAATCTAAACCGACCTGGAATCAATCTCTGAAATCTAGAAGCCATTACAATTCCCATTTCAAAACCTGAAAAGACCTCAGAAATTCCTATAATTATAGACTATATTCTCTGTAAGATCTTAGAACGAATGGTAAACATTTAACGTAACTTCTAGAGATAAACGATTATCCGTCTCTCTTCCAAACCGAATTTTGGACAAACAGATGCACTACAGAGTAGTATACCTGGATACCCGAAGTTTGTAAGAAGTCAACACCTGTTGTCTGTTTTCTACAGGTACGTTGATAACTTTCAGATTTCTGTAGAGCCAATAATATGAGACTCATACACGGCACTGAATCTCATTTAATCAGCATACTTTTAGCTTTATTGCTGAGAACACTACGTGCCGCAAGTTTTGTCAGACATATGGTTGCATACATAATCGAACATTTGTGATGCAGACTGTATTTATAAGCAGCAAATTGATATATTATTGTGAGGGATTTTTGAAATATTTACAGATGGATGTCAATCTGAAAACCGTTTTGGATAAGAAAGAGTCTGGCTTTCAATTTTACTGCACAGTTACATGCTGTGTATTTAGCTTTAAATCATTTATGGAAGCCTTTATTTATTTATTGCGGCGTTATTTATTCCGGTTAACAAAGGTTTGTGAACCAGCAGTGTACTCATTATCTCGTTTTATTTTTGCCATAATTCACGAAATCACTTCTGAACTGTCAACAATAATTTCATTTTAAACTTTTGTTGGATCCCAGGCCATGTTGGCATATGAGGAAATAAATAAGCAGATACCGCTGCTAGATCAGGTTTTCCTCCTGGGCATTTAATGCGTATTTATACTACTTTTTTAAGTACAGATTTTAAGCAAGATGCGTGCAATGAAGTCCACAATAATCCAGTCATAGAAAATTAGACAATAGATTAATAATATGATGGATTTTGTTATTTTTACTCGTTTGAGAATTGGTATTGGTGAGTGAGTGTGCCCGTCTGAAGTGTTGGGGAATAGGCCAAACTTTTTTGTGGTTCTGGACATTTCCAAAGAAACTTGGGATGTTTAATCCAGTTGTATTATGCTTCTGATATGTATTGTTTTTGTACCTTGTCAATACTTGCTATTATTTGTTAAACTTTTGTCGTCGTTGTTTCCGTTTATATCTTGATGTTATAATAAAACATTGATAAAAAAACATTGTAGAATTATTATGTGATAGCACAGTAAAACAATGGTTTTGTGCCACAAAAATCCAACTGATAAGACTGTATTTTAAATATATCGTTTGAGCAAATCTCTCTAAATGTAGCAGGCTCATGGCTTACATATTTAACTTCGAACTTCTTAAGGGAAATTTCAAGAAGGGATTGGACACGACTGGTCAGAGACTAAGTCGAGTTCAATTTCCAGTTTGTGATTCTTTCGCCTACTGGAAGATGAAGACCTAACTACATCACTAAATACAGTCAAATTTATAACTTGTTACACAAATTTACTATTAGAAAAACAAATAACTGCAAAAATAGTACTTTTTAACAAATCGAAAATCACCATTCATGTCAATTCAAAAAAACAAAATTTATTCGTTACTTTATTAGTTTAATACATTTTTATTGTTTTGGAGCCTAATCAGCATAAAAAGCTTAACAATATTTTAAAACAAAAATCTCATCCTACTAGTCTATTATAAAAATTTTCATTAACTACACTAAATTTGTGAAATTCATGCTTGTCCTTGAGCTCCACCCTCCTCACGCACAACATTAATTCTATGATGAGGAAATTCATAGTCATCTGGATATACTGAATATTCAAACAGCCTAGAAAACAAAGACAGAACTAACTACAAGGAAGTTAGAATTATCAATTTTATCGAGGAATCATTTCAAAAACTTACCTGCTTACGGAGATAATAGTTAAATCTTCCGCATTACGTAGAGAAATGTTACCTTCGTTGACATGTATGTTCATATGTTCTTCGATTGTTGACATATCTTGATGAAGATATCCAGGAAATTCGTGTTCATCTTCGATTTTAACGTCTGAAGAATGAAGATTAAATCAATTTAGTAGAAAATTAGTAGTAAGAAAACAAAAATTTACTCGAAGATTTTTACCATCTTTCAATGCCAACTTGACTTTTAAAAGTTTAAACTGATCCATACTGATGTTGGCATCTCTGAAATCTACCACAAGATTGAGAATTAAGCATCCTACTACTCGTAGAGGCGGCATATCGCAAGCATAGGGATCGTAGAAACAGTTATGGAGCCATAAAACATCGTGAGCAAACATTGATCTTTCCATCATCTGCAACGCCGTTCCTCTTAAATAACTTCTTTGTTTTAAGAGTATCTGAAAATAAGAATGTCATTTCAAATAGGAGATATTGGAAAATTATACAAGAGATATTTACTTTGTCGTCTACAGATAGTCTTTGATATTCTCTCGAAAGATTTAGCCATTGATAGTAATGCTGCTCCATGTAAATGAGACAATCTAGGAATTGAGTGTTCTCCCAGTTAAGCCGAAATGGTTGAGGTAACTGTGGAATAAAAAAGAAGTGGGGGTTTAATATGGGGAGAAAGACAAAAGGAGTCAAACTTAAAAAATTAAGATAAAAGAATAATACAGGAGGAGGAGGAGCGGTCATTCTTCTCTTTCTAAATTCATAATGAGCAGCATCCACTGTAAAATTTAATTTTTGTGTTTAAGCGAACAAGATGCAATTCTTGATTTCGTGTTTTTAAAATATGATACGTTTTATAACTATTTCATTAAGAACTAGAGTGGGAAGTTAATTTACATATCTGGTCGTTCAGATGGATTATTAATGAAAATTTTAAGTTACTCACGAAAGACTTTTGAAGAATTCATCCCAACACAGTAGCATTTACTCATTTTACAAAAGTGACAGATATTACCGCTGGCTACAGTCACATCACAACTTCCTAAGAATTGACAGTTCAGAACTCTTGAACCTCTAACTACTACTTCAAAAAATTCGTTGCACGCCGGGCATACATCGCAGTCGAATTTATCTTCTAGATCAGTGCAATCGGCGCATACTGGACAACGTTCACCGTATTTCTGAGCTCCTTCCTCTGGAACTTTATATTAAATTTCATAAGTGAATTTTTCTCATTATTTAAATTTTTGCCATTCTTACTCTTACCCGGCTTAAAGAATTCTTCTTCTTCGGGTGGTGGATAGGCCTCTGCCATTTACTTAATTAATATTTCAACTAAACAAACAGTAGAATATTATGAGTATTAAAGTACAATGGTGGTATACATACTATTCGTACCTTCAAACAATTCAGTTTCCACAACAATTAATGATGTCTGGTGATGAAAACTGCTTTAAATATCTCTTGAGTAAATTGCTTTTCATAAAATATGTTTTAAAATGCTATCATTTACACATTTTTACACATAAATTCCATATAAAATAAGTTAATATTTACGGTTTTATACTTTAAACATTAATGTAATAATCTAATTTGCATAAATGTAGAGAATTTGCCGTATTTCTGCTCTTTGCAATATAACTTTGTCTTAATTTTTAAAGTAAATTATTATTATTTTCGTTTAATTGAAGTCATTATTTATTTATATATTGATTTAAAAAATACATAATAATTATGAATACTGCTTTTATTTTTCGAAATTATTCATTTTAATAATTGTTCTATAAAACGCAATGTGCTGTAAACGTAACGATGAATATTAATTTAGTATTCTACATAATAATAAAGGGAAAATTAATTAAATTAATAAAATTATACAGAAAACTCCATATAGTCATTTCATTGGGCAGGCGCAACTTCACGACCAGTGTTCAGTAGTTTTATCCATTACACAAGTGATATTCATCGCAATCTAAGAGAAGGTTGCATTCAATCTATCACTAAAGAACAATTTCATATAAAATATATCCGAAACAATTAAATTAATAAAATTATACAGAAAACTCCATATAGTCATTTCATTGGGCAGGCGCAACTTCACGACCAGTGTTCAGTAGTTTTATCCATTACACAAGTGATATTCATCGCAATCTAAGAGAAGGTTGCATTCAATCTATCACTAAAGAACAATTTCATATAAAATATATCCGAAACTATTAAAATAATAAACTGCTACCAGATAAGAAATCTTCAATATATTAATCAGAATGGCAATTAGATTAAATAACAATCTCTTCTCAATCACTTTATGATGATGATCCATCATATCTTCTCATTGATTATGACGACATATGTACAACCTATTCCTGTCCGTGGTGAGGGGCCCTCCCAGAGATGGTTTAGTAACACTTTACCATTCCTGGGATCTGAACGCCCACCTACGTGTTTGCTGTGCGTGGTGGCCCATATGCCGGAAAGAGGGATCCTGGTAGTTGAGGGGCAACACGACATTTCCGACAAACTGCTTTGGCCCCTGCTTCGGATAAACGGGAGGCTCGAACCAGGCTCCATTTTATTCAATCGGCTGGTCGTTGGCCAGCCGATTGACTCATTTGAAATACGCCTCTTAGTCTTCGTCCATGCTGGAAAATACAGGCCTGGAGTCAACTGATCGATATAGACCGGACAGACACGTCCCGGCTTGACAGTTTTGTCACAGACAAGATGTACTCTTCTTGACTGCATTGTGGTGGTAATACTCTTGGAAAACCCTGGTGTAGACCATACCGACGTCGGTATGACTTGCAAGCAGTGGCAGTCAGGATTTCAATTGGTGTAAGTGTAATAATTTGTTCTATATACAGTACTTGCCACCAGATGTCAGAGTCAACGAGGATGAATTGGATGCCTTGGTTGAACAGCTGCCGACCTCATTCCTTTTACTCGGTGATTTCAATGACCACAATCCATGGGTGAGTCCCGACATCAATCGTCGAAGCAGAGCCATTGAGAGACTTATAGGCAATCATCAACTGTATCTATTTAATACTGGAGAAGTGACATACTTTCATGCCCCAACAAGAACATTCAGCGCCATTGATTTATCATTAGCAACCTCAAACCTGTTTTTAGCGTTTACATGGGAGGTTGGATCAAATCCGCTTTCCAGTGACCACTTCCCAATATTTATAAAATGCCGAGGCAGAGAAAGCTGTGAAACAGCCCGTCTACCACGCTGGAAACTGGAGACAGCCGATCGGCCTGGATTCTCCACTATCTCTTAAGAAATAGTCAATATTACTGATATCAATGATGCAGTTGAAGCTTTTACTTCCAGCATTATTCAGGCAGCTAAAAAAAATGGAAAAACATCAATCAGCTATCCAAAACATCCGAAACCATGGTGGAACCAAAATTGCGAGGCGTCATACAAACAAAAGAAAGCATGGGGAATTTTTAGAAGATACCCCAATGCTAGCAATGTGATTGCTTATCAAAAAGCAAAGGCAAAGCCAGAGAGATTCATGGAGGAAGTATGCTTCTGGCATAACATTTACCACTAGCTCAAAAGCAGTCTAGGATAAAATCCATAAAATTAGTGGGAAATACGCCTCTCAGCCTTTGTCCATGCTGGAAAATATAGGCACAATAATCAGCGATATACAAGGTATTGCTGATTTGTTGGGTGAAACGTTTCCCTCTTCACCCAGCAATATAATGTATACAAGGATTTTCCAAGCTGATAAAGCCCAAACAAAAAATAATGTTTAAACTTTAATTTTCTTATCTACTGTAGAACACAATGTACCATTTACCAGGATAGAACCAGAAACAGCTATCTGTCGCTTGCGGAATACTGCTGTAGCTCCGGATAAAATCTACTACAGCATGGTTAAAAATCTGTCAAACAATTCACTTAGTAATCTTTTGAATCTATCTAACAGAATATGAACAGAGCATACATTTCTTGACTCTTGGAGGCTATCGATTATTTCCATTCCCAAGCCAGGAAAAGACAGTAAGAATCCCTGTAGTTAAGACTAATTTCTTTGACAAGTTGTCTCTGTAAACTCTTTGAGAGAATGGTAAACAAACGTCTGGTGTTTCTCCTAGAGGAAAAAGATTACTTTTCTTTATATCAGAGTGGATTTCGTAAGAACAGAAGTACCACGGTCAATTTAGTGTACCTCGAAAAATCTATACGCGAAGCGTTTTTTCGACAACAGCATTTAGTGTGTGTGTTTTTCTATATAGAGAAGGCCTACGATCGCTGATGGCGATACAGAATACTCCGTGATCTACAGCAATTCGGATTGGGGGTAATTTGCCAATTTTTATATAAAAAAAGACTTTCTACAGAATCGAAGATTCCAAGTTAGGATGGGCACCACTCGGCCAGATCTACATAGGGATTAATAGGACTTAAGCCCCTGGCTCCAATTGTCAAGGGCCCACAAAAATTGAATTATCATCATAAATTTTTAATACTTTTTCATTAATAATGAATACTTATCGTATAATAAAAAATAGTTATTAACAATGTAATAATAATTTATACTATTATNATACGAACATTTGTTTCTTGAAAATTTGATCACGATTTAAATACAGAATTTACTTTTAATATTACCGATATGTCATCGAAAAGAAAACGTGTTGTGTTATTATTAAAAGACAAATTAAAGTATGTTTCGATTATCCAGATTTTTCCTTATCCGGACTACCTTCATTCCCAATTAGTCCGGATAATCGAGGTTCTACTGTATTTCTAAAATACCGAAGCAGAGAAAGCTGTGAAACAGCCCGTCCACCACGCTGGAAACTGGAAACAGCCGATCGGCTTGGATTCTCCACTATCTCTGAGGAAATGGTCAATATTACTGATATCGATGATGCAGTTGAAGCTATCATTTCCAGTATTGTTCATATAGCAGAAAAAACAATGGCGAAAACATCAACCAGATATCCAAAACACCCAAAACTATGGTTGAACCAGAATTGCGACGCAGCATACAAACAAAAGAAAGCATGGAGAATTTTTAGAAGATACCCCAATGCTAGCAATGTGATTGCTGTTCAAAAAGCAAAGGCAAAGGCCAGGAAAAAAACGCAAAGCCAAAGGGATTCATGGAGGAAGTATGCTTCTGGCATAACATCTTCCACTAGCTCATAAGCAGTCTAGGATAAAATCCATAAAATTAATGGGAAATACGCTTCTCAGTCTTTGTTCATGCTGGAAAATATAGGCACAATAATCAACAATATACAAGGTATTGCTGATTTGTTGGGTGAAACGTTTTCCTCTTCACCCAGCAATATAATGTATACAAGGATTTTCCAAGCTTATAAAGCCCAAACGAAAAAATAATGTTTAAATTTTAGTTTTCTTATCTAATATAGAACACAATGTACCATTTATCAGGATAGAACCACAAACAGCTATCTGTCGCTTGCGGAATGCTGCTGTAGGTCGAGATAAAATCTACTGTTTTATGTGTACAGCATGATTAAAAATCTGTCAAACAATTCACTTAGTAATCTTTTGAATCTGTTTAACACAATATAGACAGAGCATACATTTCCTGACTCTTGGAGGCTATCGATTATTTTCATTCCCAAGCCAGGAAAAGACCGTAAGAATCCCTGTAATTACAGACTAATCTCTTTGACGAGTTGGCTCTGTAAACTCTTTGAGAGAATGGTAAACAAACGTCTGATGTTTCTCCTAGAGGGAAAGGATCTTTACTTTTCTTCATATCAGAGTGGATTTCGTAAGAACAGAAGTACACGGTCAATTTAGTATATCGAGTATAGAAAAATCTATACGCGAAGCGTTTGTTCGACAACAGCATTTAGTGTCTGTGTTTTTCGATATAGAGAAGGCCTACGATCGCTGCTGGCGATACAGAATACTCCGTGATCTACAGCAATTCGGATTGCGAGGTAATTTGCCAATTTTTATAAAAAGAAAAAGACTTTCTACAGAATCGAAGATTCCAAGTTAGGATGTGCACCACTCGGCCAGATCTACATACGGATTAATAGGACTTAAGCCCTTGGCTTCAATTGTCAAGGGCCCACAAAAATTGAATTATTATCATGAATTTTTAATACTTTTTCATGAATAATGAGTACGTATTGTATAGTAAAAATAGTTAATATTAACAATATAATAATAATTTACACTATTATTTGTATTAACAAAAAATTCGGTCCCACTGGACTTCAATAAGTCCTAGGCCCCGAAAAACCTAGATCCACCCCTGGCCTTTCACGCAAGAAGGTGTTTCTCAAGGTTGTATTTTGAGTGTCACTCTGTTCCTAATTAAAATTAACCGAATAGCTAATTGTCTTCTTCCTAGTGTGAAACACTTTGTATATGGATGACTTCCAGATCCCTAGTCAGTCTAGTAACGTGAGTTTTATCGAGAGACAAGTTAAAACTTCCCTAAATCGCATATATGACTAAAGACCAGTGTTTTATTTTTAACACGGAGAAGACCTCGTACATCCACTTTTGCCGAAGGCGTGGTTTGTACCCCGATTTTGAAATTTACGTAAATGA